AAAAAAAAAAAAAAAAAAAAAAAAAAAAAATGTGTTATTTTTCTTGACTTAAGCACATAATGTGATACCTATTGGAAAACTGACCTTTCAGCTGGGTGTGATGGCACATTGCCTGTAATCCCCATACTCGGGAAGCGGAGGCAGGAGGATCGCTGGGGGTTCAAGGCCAGTTTGGGCTACGTAGTGAGTTCAAAGTCAGCCTGAACTACATAGTGAGACCCTGCCTCCAAAAATAGAGAAAAAACTGACTTTTTAAGAAAACTAAACACTAAATGCCTGTGGATAATGCTTCATATCTTAAGTATATAGGATTCATTCTGAAAAAGTGTTTGTGGTAAAATTTTTTTTAAGTCATACTTGAGGCTGTTGTCTTCTCAAAGATTTTTTGGTTTTTTAATTTAATGTGTGTTAATCTGGGAACTTTATTTTCAATGAGATTATGCTTCCTCTTTCCTCCCGTTCTGTGATCATATGTTTAAAAGTGGTTCAATGCTATATCTAATGTCAGTTCCATGTTCTCTTAATAGGTGGGTGAGTTTTCTGGCGCTAATAAGGAAAAGCTTGAAGCCACCATTACTGAATTAGTCTAATTGTGTTTTCTGAAGACCATAACCAGCTATCTGCTATGTAAAAGTTTAAATTTTTTTTTATTTACGAAAAATATGAAGTACGGAAACTATATACCCAACTGCCATCTGATTATAAATGACAATAAAACATTAATTCTACCCTTTTTAAAACTGTCTGGTGTCTGAATAGCTTTTAAAATAAATGAAAGCCGGGCGTGGTGGCACACACCTATAATCCCAGCGCTGGAAGGCTGAGGCAGGAGTATTGCTTCAAGTTCAAGACCAGCCTGGGCCTCACAGTGAGTTTCAGGGAAATCTGAACTACATAGTGAGACCCTGTCTCTAAAAAATAAATGAGAAAAGGCCATTTATTGTCCTATTTTTTACATATTCTTTAATGTTTTAGTGACGTTGCCATTGATTGTCATAAGATTTTTAAAATATTAATACTATCTGGGTTTTTTTTGGTACCAGGGATTGAACTCGGTCCTTGCGCCACCGAACCGCTGAGCTAAATCTCTAGCCAGATTAATACTATCTTGATGTATTTGTAGAAATGTTTCTTGTTACAGATAGAGTAGCACATTGAAAAAAAAAGTTTTGTTTTGTTTTTTTTTTGCCTTTATGAATGGAGAGGACAATATTCCTAGCAGAAAATCCATTCTGCTGTCTGATTCAATCAGCAAGACGATCACTGATATCTACTCATGATGGAATTGTGTATCTCTGCTTTATAATTTCTGTGCCAAAGGTCACACCAAGCTGCTAATTTCTCTAATGGTAACAGTGCTTGTATCAGTTTGAAATTGTCCATGGTCCATTCACAGGGGACTCACTCTAAACATTACCATGAGGGTTTTGTCTCTTAGAGTCTAGTTTTATAAGCCAGGTAGAAGTTCCAACCTGCATACTAAATATATGGAAATAACTAGTTGTTCAAAGATTATTTCTTGTGTTGTAAACACAGCAAAAGGCTGTACTAGGCATGATTGTGCTATTTTAATCTTTGTAACAGTCTTCGGGGTAGATACTGTAATCCTCAGATAACCAGTGAAGACACAAAGGTTAAGAAATTATCCACTAGCATCACAACTAGCTGATGAGGAAGCTGCGATTGGAGTGACAGGCACCTTGTTTCTTGTCTGAAGTTAGGGTGATAAATGTAGGCATTCTCTCAGAACTGTTGATTGAATGCTGTTACGTGCCAGCTACTATGGGTATAGCTGAGAATAAGAACCTTTTTCCTCATAACAGTTTACATTCCAGATAAGAGGGAAATTAGTGAGTAACAAACTCCAGTATCTAATCATACGAGGCAAGAAAGAACCAAAAGGTCAGGCACCATCATTGACAATAATGAGACCTGGTTTGGGTTGGGTGGGCATATAGGGTTCGGTGAGGTGACTGAGCTGATAGATAAAAAGGACTCACCTGCTAAGAGGGAGTCTGCTTTCACGGTGAGTGAACAAAAGGCACCAAGACCTGAGCAAGGTCGGCAGATAGAATCATCTGAGAAGCATGAAATAAATCTGGGGAAGGTTCAGGGCCCAGTCCTCCAAGTCCTTACTAATTCTAGAAGTGATGGGAAGCCATCAAAGAGTAAGTCGGGGAGTTACATGCTTTGCTATTAGGAGCTCATTTTGGCATCTGTGGAAAACCAGTTAGATTGCTGCAGCCAACTAGGGCAGATAGGATGATGACAGTGATTACACAGGCAGTGGGAAAGTGGCAGAGAATTAAGACTTGGGGGAACCAAACACAGTAATGAATCTCAGGTTTCTGGCTATCCTAAGTGGTTAGGGTAGCATGTCATGAGGAGAGCTAGAGGGAGCAGGTGGTGGTAATAGGGAGTCTGTCCATCTCTAGACAGGTTAAGGTAGATGCTTTCAAGGTGTGCATTCAAACGGTGCTGTGCAGGCTGCTGGGTACTCGGGTAGCGCTCAACTGTGGTCTAGACTGGGATAAGAACTTGGAAGACTGTCATATAGGTGGCACTTAGGAATATGTGAGGATATCTAGGAAGAGAACTGGGGCCGAAGAGGGCTCAAGACAGACTTGAGAACTCACAATATTTAGAAATTTAAGTAGAGTAGGAATCACCAAAGGAGATTTACAGGAAAAAGGGAGGGCAACCAGAACGGCTTTATACTGGCAGCAGAGAGGAGAACACTTCAAAAAAAAACCAAAATACTGCTGACAGGATAGGAAAGGTGAGGACCAGAAAACAAAATGAAGGTTGATGTCTGCAACAAAAATTCATACGGAGAGATGATATTAGTCAAATTAATGGGAATGGAAATCACAGTTTTCAGACATCCTTGAGCAGTGATGGCAAACCTTTTAGAGCTTTCAATGATAAACAGCCTGGAGCAGCACACGTGCCATAGGTCCCACCTTCGCTTGTGGAGAGACATGTCCAAAAATGCTTACTTCATCAATGTTTGGAGCAACAAAAATTGGATCTCCAACGATAGGAAAATAGTTAAATTCAGCAAGATACATTCTTTCTGGGTAATGCAGAATAAGGAGTTACTAGTACTGAAACAAAATCTCAGTGTCACTGCTGAATGAAACAACTGGCAAAACAGCATTAACAGTACCCAAGTGTGCTTCCATTCATTTGTATAGAAACTACAGGTATCTAGCAGTACAGGTAAAATGAATCTAATAGAAAAAAACCTTCAAGGACTCATTTTCAACTAATCACACTGTTCTGATGTGTTTAGATGCCCCCGCTACACACTCAAAGCCTCATGCAAACGAGGTGGGGCTTTTTCAGAGGTGGCTGGATCTGGAAGTGTGTGACAAATTGATTCATGGTATAATACTAGGCTCAAGGGCACTGTGCTACCCGTTTTAAGTAGTCTGGGTAAGATACAAGGGACAGGAAAACGCTGTTAAGGTCCCCTTGTTGCTTTACTACCTTCTGCCTGCCATGAACTGTTGCCCCTCTGCCCTGTGCTACCCCGCCTTGGAGCCAGCTGACTGCGGACTGAAACCTATGAACTGTAAGCCAAATAAACCTTTCCTCCCTTAACTTGCATGTCAGGTATTTTGTCTCAGCAGCAAGAAAAGTAAGACACAATAGTGACTTGTAGAGAAGAAGATAGATTGAGATTGGTGATCTTTAGTTTCATCTACAAATAATTTAGATGTTTCATAGCAAAAATCGTTCATGTATTATAATGTCTTTTAATCTTTAAAAGGTAAATAGAAGGAGAAGCAGGATTTGTAGAACACAATATAAATTGTCTTACAGAGTTGAGAGGCATTTTATGCATAAAACTACCATGGTGAGTTTGCCATCTTGAGAATGGAAATGGTATGGAAGTTATATGGAATTATTAAGAGAAAGAAGATACTTGAGAAGGAATTCCTAACACTAGAAAAATATTACACTGAGTGAAATAAACCACACATAGATAGATGTGGAATCTTAAAAAGTCAGAGTAGAAGCATAATTACTGGGGTTGGAGGGTGTTATTGGGCAATGTCAGTCAAAATTTGCAGTCATGAACAAGAACTGAGGATCTGACCACCAACCTTATCAATTTTTAGGCATTCTTTATCCATTCTGGATATCGGTCTTTTCTTCTTTGTTTTATTTTGTTGTTGTTGTTGTTACAAATATGTTCTCAGCAAGAGGCTTGCTTTTCATCCACTTTGTGAAGTTGGTGTTTTTTTATGGGGGGGGTTGTTTTTTCAGACAGGATCTCACTATGTAATTCAAGCTAGCCTTGAACTCACTGTGTAGCCCAGGCAAGCTCTAGCTCATGGTGATCCTCCTGCCTCAGCCTCCTGAGTGCTGGGATTACAGGTATGCACCACCATGCCCAGTTCTTTGTGAAGTTTTTAAAGTAAGGAAAGTTTTTAATTTTGATACTAGTGAAATTGTTGTCAAGTAGATAATTACCTTTAGCATAGCTAACATCTTTATGATAGTTTATGGTACACACAATATGTTTTAATTTTTCCTCGTAGTAACCAATAAAAATTTGATCACAGAGGTAGATAATAAAAATTTAAAACCAACATCAGCTCATTAAAACAGCATCTGAAATTCTGTTGAAAAGCAATACCAGGTCTTTTTTTCATTGCCCAGTGTAATACCAAAAAATTATTGTGATAATGCTTGATTTCAAATCTATTTCATGCCTTCATATCAAGTTTTTCAAAATGATAATGTATTAAGGTCCCAGCCAAGAGTTTCTATCTCCTCTAAGGCAATTTGATGCAAGGTGAAAGAAAGACAGGGAAACAAGACTTAAACAGAAATCAAGGGTGTAGGATTGTCTGAGCTAATCTAGGCAGCAAAGACAAAAGGCATCCAAGACCCCCAGTATGTATTCATTACAAGTGTGGGAAGAAATAGGGCAGGGTATATGTGAGACATCTGGAGAGAGTGTGTGAGTCTTCTGGCGATAGCAGTTATCACAGGCAAGGCTCATAAAAAGGAGGCAATGCATTCTTGCAAAAGGAACAAAGGGAGACCAGGAGTGGATGGTAATTAACCAGTAACCCATCAGGTCAGTGGGAGAGGCCATAATGCAAGAAAAATAATTTAGTTAGAGCCACACTGTCCTCAGCTTCAATGTTAGTCAGGACCCTACAGCTTCACAGACCAGGACTTAATCTCTCTACTACAGCCATGGGGTGGGGGCTGTGCTCGCCTGCCCACCATCTGACATGTCCATGTGAGTCACATAGGCTTTGGTCAAACTCCTAGTATAATACAGCTGAATTATGGGGAAGCAAGAAGCCTGTGCTACTTATAGCCTGTCAGTAAACCTGGCACTGTGGTGGGGGCGGCATTCCAACTAAATAATGCAACTAATTTTTAGAATGCACATCCACTGGAGTAGACACTCTACAGCCAAGCAGAGCGTGCATCAGTGGCAACAGGGCAAAAGAATCAAATATCTGAAGACAGCTTTGGGGCCACTGCTTGAACACAGCTTTCTCCAGCCAAACCTGCAGCATCCCTTTCCCAACTAGCCTATCCTTAAGTTGAGCTCCTAGGTGCCAGCATTTTGATGAGAGTCTAAACATGCAAATTTGGGTCAGTTCAGTAGATTGTCCAAGGAGCCCCAGAAGAGGCTGCTTGTGGATGGATCCTACAGCCTGGCAAAGTCTATACCACACACAAAGGTTTTGTGCCAGAGTAGTAGCCT